GAGAGTATGTGAAAATCTTTACAAATAAAAACGTTACACGATTGCTAAAAATTGCTATGTACTAAAAATAAATGGATGGTTGTTTAAAATTTTTGAACTTATCTTATTTAAACGTATTGTAAAAGATCCGATCTTCAAAATAAAAAAAGTTTCAATGTCTAAAGTAGTTCGTAGTAAAGTTATGGCGTTAAAAATTTGAGTTTTTAAATTATCGTGATCACTGATGTTTTATCGTTATAAAAAAAATTGACACTCTAACGTATCCCTATAATTCCATTTCAGATGCTCATAGACATCTAATGATTTTATCTAGTTATCTTTTCGAGAAAAAAGGTCGTTTAAAATAAGCGGTTTGCGATCGTGATTTTACTTTACTTGATAGGGAAAGACATACCGGCAACGCCGCATCAGGGCACCGTCGCATTTCTCTCACTCCACTTAATAAGATCCCTATGCGATTTACTTCCACACATGTAAATGTGTGGAAGTAAATCAAAACCGACCCAAAAGTAAAAGTTGCAAGCACGGTATTATCCAAATAAAAACTACACCATATTTTTCAAAGTGAGGTCACAAAAGACTTCCTAAATAATCAAAAATCTTGGAAAAAGTAAGAAATTGGGGGTAAAAAGAGGATCTTGCTACGCCACTGAAGTATTGCCCTTATGTCATCCCATATTCGACGTATGTTCGGGGAAACTTTAATATTTATATTGAAGTTTTCAAGCGTCCGCCAAAATCTGGCGGCCATATTTTATTCCGTTTCAATTACCGTCGGATTTTAGATATATATGTGTATCGTTCGAGTTTTAGATTCCAATTTCGTCGAAATTCGCTCCAAAACCCAATTCGAAGCTTGTAAAAGTCGACAGACTTTTTTTTTGTATTGTTTGACCTCGAATTCTTATGTATTTATATCTATTGAAATAAAAAAATGTTAGATAGTTGCACTTATAAAGGCACTTGAGGTAAATAGCAGTTATATTATGTTATGTTCCATTGCCGTCCCGAATAAGAAGTTTAATTAAGGTGAGTTTATTTTATCTCACTGAGCAACTAGTTGGTTACTGTTTATTGTTTTTATTGTGGTATATTATATTTCTGAATCATAGGTATATTTTAATATATTTGAATTGAATATTAAGAAAAGATGATTTGCAGATGATAATATTGAAGTATTTCTTTACAGTGATTTATTTATATTTTGTCTAAGTGACTTTAATAGAAGATAAGAATATATTTCTGTATTTGTATTATCAAATTGATCTTGAATGAATTATGTTTAGCTTTATTATTTTCTACAGTTTTTCACAGAAGAGTAGTTCGTCCTGTAGCGTAATTAGCCTTGACAAGTAGTTAGTCCCGTAGCGTAATTAGACTTGAAGAGTAGTTAGCCCCGTAGTGTAGTTTGACTATTAACTTGTGCATTTTTTAGCCTGTGTGGCACTTTAATAGCCTGTGTGGCATTTGTTAGCCTGTGTGGCACTTTGATAGCCTGTGTGGCATTTTTTTAGCCTATGTGGCACTTTGATAGCCTGTGTGGCATTTTTTAGCCTGTGTGGCACTTTGATAGCCTGTGTGGCACTTTGATAGCCTGTGTGGCATTTTTTTAGCCTGTGTGGCACTTTGATAGCCTATGTGGCATTTTTTAGCCTGTGTGGCAATTTGATAGCCTGTGTGCCACTTTGATAGCCTGTGTGGCATTTTTTTAGCCTGTGTGGCACTTTGATAGCCTGTATGGCATTTTTTTAGCCTGTGCGGCATCTTGATAGACTGTGTGGCATGTTTTTTTTAATAGTCTGTGTGGCATTTTATTATTTTATTTAAAAAAAAATTGTATTTTTAAGTTGGACTATTGATAAATCATTCAAGTACCTGTTTAATTTTAAATTCACTTTATTTTAATAATAACTGGTAACATTGTTGCTCACACCATGTTTTTTTCTTTAATTGCAGGTAGGTCATCTCGGTAGCCATACAAGACTTTTGTTGCTATATCAAAGTTGGCTATTACCATTAGTAACGTACCATCTATTAGTATTATTTTTATTTTATATTATTAGTTGTATTTTATTATACAACATTTACGCCCTTTAAATTTGTTTTATGGTTTTTATTTTTAATTTGAGTTGACCGCTTGAAAAAAAAAATTTTGGCCCGTACACGATGTAACGCCATATTAGAACAGTTGTTTTTTAAAGTGTCCGAACATTTAGTTATCACGATATTGTGCAATCTTTTTGTTTATTTATTGGCCTACAGTTTATTTTAATGTTTACAGAAACTAAACTATTTAAATATTCATTAGAAATGTTATATTTTAATATATTTTTAATGTATTTCTTAAATGTAAATAATTCAGTTAATGAAAAAAAAAATTAATAAATTTTTGTTTGTCCGAACATTTAGTTGTTAGGGCTCGTAAGAAATACATTTATACGAACTTTTTAACTAATTTTTATCTGCAGAATATGCTGCCTAAGTTTCCGGAATACAGTTCGGACCATCCTGTATATTTCATCATAAATTTAAGGATCACCTTATATATTTTTCGATCTTTTTCGCTACACTATCCTTTATTTTACAGTCGCATAAAATTCGGGGGAAAAAACGCGCCAAATTCAAACCCGCGATGCGATAAATGAAAACGCATAAATCTCGATATGAAATTTACGACCAAACCTCCGAAAAAAACGGGTCCCAGGTGCCGGAAACACTTCCCGCGCCCCCTGCGACAAAATAACGACGCGCTGTCACTGCCTGCGTGTCATTTTTATTACGTCTTTGTCGTATAACAATTTTTCATTACCTTATTTAGCATATGGCGGTGCGAGGGAAAGTATATAGACACTGGGAGGGCGCATACGGCGGTAGTCTTTATGGGCATATATTATGGGAAACACGTATTTTTTCCATTTTTCTTTTGGGAGGTGGTGGGAGTGTAAAGATGGCGGAAGGGAGAGAACGATATACAGGAAATTGAGAATAGAAACATGTTTGTTTGTCAAAAAATGAACGGCATTTTCGATACTTCAATTATTTTTGATAAAATATTATGAGTAAAATTTATTTTTAAGGATTAAAATATAATTTTTAAAATTATTATTAATAGTTATTTTTTATACAAGACGATAGAATGGTATTTTATCGTCGTGTATAAAACAATATTTTTTCCATAGCGAGTAACGTTTTAAAAAATATTCAGAAATTATTATTTCAAGGAATTTATTACGAGTGGAAAAAATATTGTGCTGAGTTGGCGTTGGTTTCTATGTAATTTGACAAAAAAATAAAGCTGTCTCTTAATTTGTCAGTTTTGAGTCAATATTTTTTTAATTATCTTTCGCGTCGATTGCTGATTGAATTGGAGCCAGAAACGGCTCAAAACGAAATAAGTAAATTACCAACAGATATTCAGGCTGAGGCGACAAACGCCATATCCAAACTACTTCCATTTAAATCCCGAATAACTTATGAAAAGGAATACAAACATTTCCAAAAATGGAAGTAGTTAAAAAACGAGCGAGAAGAAATAAAGATTTTAACCTATCCTCGCTGTTAAAGTATCATTTAATCCACCCTTGCGGTTAAAGTACTATTTTATCTACTATTTTTGATAGATATAAGACAATTTATTTTAACAGCTGCTATGGAAAAAAAATTGTTTTTTTTTCAGCAAATAGTTGTTTAAAACAAATGATACACGTAAAAAACAAAGATCCAACCACATTTTGACGCCCTAATGTGGTAAAAAATTGAAAATGATGTCTTCTATTCTCTAGAAATTTTTTGTTAACTACAGAGAAATTAAACGTAGCGCTATCATAGGCAATTATATCGTCTAGAGATTTTGAGATATCAACGTCATGCCCAATGGGTCATATTTTAGCATAGCGAATTTGCGCATCTCAATATTGTACCTTTTTCATTTTATATTAGTTTAAAAATTTGCCCCATCTCAAATACTACAATTCTTCGTTATGACGAAGAGACGTATGTTGAGATAGGGCTCTTTGTTATATCAATTATTGTTATACCAATTGTTATACTACAAGAAAGATGGAATATGAGATAGGTCCTTATGTTTTAAGTTTTGAAAATGCATGCGAGAGAAAATCACACCATTCTACCTAATTATTTTCTGACGGTTGCTTGGGATAAAATAAAACTTCTATCATGGCAGCAGCTCTCTTTTACAGTGTGATTTTAGAGTCTTTTTGCCAAAAACCATTGTTAGAATAAGCTAGACTCTGTACATAGCTGTATTGGGTATGCAAAAGATTGTCCGAGAATAAATGGCCGAATAAAAGGAAAATTTTGATCGAAAACAAAACAACGAAACGAAAATTGCCCTAATTGAAAATTTCCCGAAATTATACTTTCTCTAAGAACATTTTAGCGAACCAAAAACTTGCCCGAAAAATACAATAATTTTCATCTCATTATCATTGTCAGGCCATTGGCATTGTCATCCCTACCAATTTTTGGAAAATTTTATTTATTTTGCCTCTCATCATCCAGCATAAACACGTAGAATGGAAGTCGAATTTGTTATCATTGAACAGGGAAAACAGAAACTGTTACTCCACAGTTATTTGAATAAAAAAAACGAACGAAGAAACATGTTTTGTTTTTATTTAGTTTGGTTTTTATATATTTTATGGCCCGTGAGTTTAAATGCCCTGTATTAATGCCCTCAATTAACTAAATCATTACTGTTCTATTCGAAGTAAAAATTACTTCTTGTGCCTCGCCTGTAATGCCGAACCTACAGCTCCGCCACAAAAAATGTAATTTTTACTCCTAATAAAATAATATACAATTTTTTTCAAACGTCACAAAAATATTAATTTTTGCGACGTGGCTGACAATATAAAAAAGTCATTGACCGACATCAAGTGTCAAATTCAACGAGTGTAACGATAGTTTCTCAATATACTCATAAGGTATTAATTTTAAATAGTTTTATATTATTCGCAACTACTAAAAAAAGAACCTACCTTGCCTACTCCGGTAATTTCTTTGACACCGATCCTCCTCAGCAATGCTGGAGGTACAGGTGGAGGGGACTTTTGCAAAGCCCCACAAAAACCTCCTGGGTCCACCTCGTCTGAGTTGTACCGCTTTCTTCTGTGCGGCGACGAAGATAGGTTTAGTTTCTGAGCTGCTCTGTAACAAAAAAAAACGTTCAGTGAATATAGCGTTAATTATGTAGTATATTAATTATTACAATTGTAGTATAACAACCCAGGTTCGGGTCTTGTCCACTTTAGGTATATCAAAATTTTAAAATTTTCTATACAGAATTGAGAAGAGGAACACTTATAATGACATTTTCTAACGAAAAAAGTGCGGATCTAAGTAATAATTTCACTATATTTTCATTATATTATAGTTTATCTAAAAGCCACACTTGATTGAGGATAGAAAAATGTCCAAAATTTTACTGAAAAACACTTTTCTTAACAATGAAAATTGAGACCAGATGGAAGATGGAAGTTTGACATTTCATATATCCTTCTTTCTCTCTTCTATGCAATGAGAGAGACAAATATATTCTAGACCCATGGTACAAAGAAAACAAGGTATGATCGATAGCGGCTCCAATTTCGTTAAGTTTGCGCATACCACCTGTGACGTCATACGCCATACAAAAAAATATCCATATTGTTCAATTGCCACTAATAAAAAAAGACCTAAAATAGGGAAGAATTAGGACATAACCCCAAAAGTTATGTTTTGACATCGAGCTTGACATTTGAAAAATTATTTTCACATTTTGACACAATCAAATTTCACAGATGACACACTCTGTTTGACAATTTGAAATTGGCGCGCAGAGCTTGCCGACCAATGGTGCCGTTTATCACCTGTGACGTAGTGACCAACCTGCGCAATATCATACCTTGTATTATTTGTATCATGTTCTAGACCTAATCTAACAATTTGAAAATTTGCAACGTTGCCATATCTTGTATTTTTTCGGGTAATTACGGATTTTAAATAAATGACCTATTACGAAAGCTGACAATAGCTAAATATGTAACCACAAAATTGCACGAAGGAGTTTTAATAGCATTGGTTTACTAGAAGCTAGGGAGCCGCACTCCACTTTTGCTCCTTTGCTTCCGCGCATGCGCATAAGTTATACAAAATCGATCAGGTTTTTGCGTGCAATCTATAAATACAAAAAAACTCACACAAAAACTAACCAACGCAATCAAAATAGGCCGTAGGCGTATTTTGATCGCCGTTACCAACGACTCTAAATAAATAAAAAAAATAAAAACAGTTTTAAAAAATAAAAACAGCTGTAAAAAAATAAATAAATTTTATGTCTACCGAGGTTCGATCCACCGTCCGCAAAAAAGTTAAAACCAATGCAATCAAAACTCAGTTACGGCGGACGTTTTTACCATTGTGATCCTCTTCTCAACCTTTAACACAGATCAAAGTATAATATCTATACTTCTCAGCTTAATATCGCTACCGCTATTTTTCAAAATTAATAGGAAAGTATAAATAAAACAATATCCGATTTAGCATTGGCAACGTTGCTTTAAAAGTTAAACGAAAATAATACAACCAGTAAAACACATTCTCTCTCATCTGTCATAATTATCGCACACATTGAAAACTTATCGTAAATTTAACCTAAAAATAATAATTTTAAGTATCAATAGTGAAGTGATCTCAAACATTTAGCCGACGATCCGTACTTAAAACGTTAAAATATTAATTGTAGAACATATTAATATCAAATTTACATCAATAACTTCAAAATTGGCGATTTACCTAAAGTGGACCAGACCCCCAGGTTCGTTCAACAAAGTTGAAAAGGTAAGATTTTGACCAACTGTATAACAAACTTTATAGTTTAAGAATATTAGTATATTTAACAAGGCCCTTATTGTCACAATGAACCAAAAACATCGGCACGAATGGACAGTAAACGATTGTTTTTAGATTACTTTTAAACTGAAATTATATACAGCATAAATAGATTCCATTAAATACATACATATATTATATTAAATTACCTTGGTCAGATCGAAGAAATCTGGAAAATTTTTAGCACAGAATATTACAACAATAAAATAAAATATAGTATGCTTTGGTTAAAATTAGTTGAATAATGAGGAAACATTTACTTTACCTTTAATAACATTCTTTGTCACAAAACTCAAGAACCAAAATAATATCAATGCGTCTCGAACGATAGTCTAAAAACTATTACATAACACCTATCATTGTTGGTCGTCTGATTTTACTCTCTCTCTAGTTTGCGAATAAATATTTTAAAAATCAATAATTATTTATGTATACAGATTGTCTGTGCAATTGAATACAAACCAAATTATATACAGGATGTCCTAAGCTGAGTCCCAGGCACTAGTGAAAAGGTTTTTTAATTCATTACTTTTTGATTATACACGTTCCTATACCTAAAATAAATTGTTTTTAAGATATTTAAGATTTCGTTTTAAAGAGTATAATATACAGGGTGGCGCCTCTCATACGCCGCGGAAGCTCCAAGGAGAACGGTAGTTTATATCGAAATAAAATTTTGGCAGCATACGTAAGTTAACTGAAAGCATTTTATAAAAATATATAAAATTATACAGAGTGTCCCCAAAAAAAGTTACACATCGAAGTTGTGTTTTTTCTAATGGAACAGCCTATACAGGGTTGTTCACCACATACGACACGGAGTATTGTAGCTAAACGATGAGATTTTTACAAATTGTAAGTTTTGGGTTCGATGAAGGACTATTAGAGGTACAATTTAAAAATAATTTTACAAGATACAGAGTGTCCCAAATAAGTAAAAAATATCAAAGTTGTATTTTTTTAAATGGAACACCCTGTATATTATTACATATTTAATTTCTATGTTTAAAATAAAGGTAAATTTGATTAAGGTTTATTATACTTAAACCTTACCGTTTTTGAAATATTTTCAATTTTGTGAAATTGCAGTAAAAATTTTAAGGCTTCATTTCTCCAAGGGTATCAAAGTTTTTAATACTAAATATTTACTGAAGTTTATTTACTGATCAGTTATTGTGCTGCAATAATAAAAATAATACTACCTTATACAGAGTGTCTAAAAATTTATTTTAAATAATTATTAGCTTCAAACGGCAATAACTTGTTTAATTTAAATGGAACATCCTGTATATTTTACGAGAATCAGATGCACAATTTAATTGTCTATCAAATTATATTATACCATTTTTTACCTATCTCTTTAAGTTTCCGTAGAAAATGCATTTTCTTGTAATTTAGAACTTATATATCAATATACCCATGGATTATTGACATTTTAGATTATTTTTAAAGATGTACCAAATTTTTAAAAAGAGTGCAGATACTAATATTGTCGATATAATTCGTTTATTTCATTAAAAAATAAAAAAAAACTGTTTAAATATTTGTTAAACAGGATCAATTAATATGATTCCAGTATTCAAACTACATTAACTGACTGTTTGCGTTGATTAATAATATAATTGCTCCAAATACTAAAAAACTGAATTTTGTATGGGCATTAGACAGTGTGATAAAAAGTAACATCTTAAAAATGATATTTCATTTTTTAATAAATGCTTATTTATAACAACAGAGACTTTAATTTGATAACTTATTATTATATTGATTTCTGACTCAAATCCACATTTATTTATAATAATTTATTAACGAACACAATTAAGTATGTAATTAATTAGTATATGGGCGGAAATAATGGTGTTATATTTAATTAATGGTATACTCTTTTATAAAGATTTAAATAGTTTTCTTTTGCATACAAATGGGCTAGTAATATTATCGTTTTGCTAAAAACGATAATATTACTAGTCTGTACATTTTGTACATTTGTTGCTTTAAAAACAATCTAAAATGTCAATATTCCATGGATATATTGATAAATGAGGTCTAAATTATAAGAAAATTCATTTTCTACAAAAACTTGAAGGGATAGGTAAAAAATGGTATAATACATTTTGATAGACAATTTAATTGTGCATCTGATTCTCCTAAAATTTACAGGGCATTCCATTTAAATTAAAGAAGTTATTGCCGTTTGAAGCTAATAATTATTTAAAATAAATTTTAGACACTCTGTATAAGGTAGTATTATTTTTATTATTGCAACACAATAACTGATCAATAAATAAACTTCATTAAATATTTAGTATTAAAAACATTGATACCCTTGGAGAAATGAAGCTTTAAAATTTTTACTGCAATTTCACAAAATTGAAAATATTACAAAAACGGTAAGGTTTAAGTATAATAAACCTTAATCAAATTTATCTTTATTTTAACCGTAGAAACTAAAAATGTAATAATATACAGGGTGTTCCATTTAAAAAAATACAACTTTGATATTTTTTATTTATTTGGGACACTCTGTATCTTGTAAAAATATTTTTAAATTGTAGCTCTAATAGTCCTTCATCGAACCCAAAACTTACAATTTGTAAAAATCTCATCGTTTAGCTACAATACTCCGTGTCGTATGTGGCGAACAACCCTGTATATTAATTGATTTTCGGATTCTAGAAAAAAAATATAGGTGAGTTTTATTAAAGAAGCATATACCTAAAATCTAAGAATTTTGACATATTTCATATTTTCACATTTTGAGTAAATTTTAAATTTCGATAACAGCTACCTAAATTTTAGTTGACCTTGTATAACCTGATATTTAATTACAGTAACTATTGTCTGTTAATCCGAATTAAAATTTGACCCGAAAAGTTATACAGGGTGAGACAAAATTAATATGGAACATTAGTCACTTTTAACAGCAAGTTACTCCTATATTTTAAATGGAATACCCAGTATATTTTACCGGTATTCAATGGGGAATTTATATATCTTCAAAATATTATTAAGGTTGCCTACCACTCAGACAAACATTTTCCGAGATATTTTAATTTTTATGATTTTGCGTCAGTAAATCTTTATTATTTGAAAAAATCTAGGTGGCTGTGTGATATACCTTTTTGTTAATTTAACAAAAATTAAAGATTGTAGAGTAAAATACTCAATGGTACTGGATTTGGTACTGCAACTAATGCCATTGTGACGTGAATGCCACTGTGACGAGGAATGCCACTGGGATACTGAAGACCAGACACTCTCATGGACTGACTGGAACG